ATCTCAACAAACACATCAGCTGTGGTAGAGCATCCTCCAACTATGTAGAATCTCCATCTGATGCTGGTCCCTGGCAAAAACTTGAGACACTAGCTGAAAAATAACTAAAACCAAAAGAAAAGGGCTACGGACATGGCTCAAATGGCAGAGCATCTTCTTGGAGAGTGCGAACCCTGAGTTAAAATCCCAGTACTGCCAAAAATAAATAAAACCAAATCTTTATTAGAATGCAGTGGGCAGGGGAGTATTACTGGGACAAAACTATGCCTATTAGAAGCTGGGGTTGGTCCTGGAGGCTGCCAGCCTGTGACTGTGACCTCAAGCTGGTCTGGACACCCTGCAATCACTGCCTTGGGCAGTCATGAACACAGAATGTACCCTATGCTCTCCCCAAAACTTCTTGGAGTCCGCTGCCTCCAGGAAGCCTTCCTAGGTTGCCATGGTTTAACCAAGAATCCCGTTTCTGAGCTAGCCCAGGCTGGGGGCTCCTCCTGGTTTTCTTGCAGAGCTCCCTGGGAATCAGGAAGTTCGTACCCTCTTTTCCAGTCTGGGAAGGGAGTAGGACAGAGTCCTGGCTTCTGAAAACTTCACTTTGTGTCTGGTACTACACTGGGCAATTTGGAGGCCCATCTTCACTGCTCTGTGAGGTAAGCCCTGTTGACCCATCTGTGATGGGGAAACTGAGGCTCAGGGATGGTGATGCAACTTGCTCAAGGCCACCTAGTGCCCAGAAGGGCAGGATGCAGCATTCAGACAGAAGACTCCTATGAGACAGGAAACATCAGCCCAAACCTCCATCTGATCTTGACCTTGACTCCCCTCCACAGTGCAATCCACACTGTATCCATCACCTCCAGACGGGGACTCACTTCCTCCCAAGAGGGTATGGCCCTTTCAGCTCTAAGAAGTCCCTTCACCTGCATCGTGTCAAGGAACAAGACACCAAACACATGCATTCCATTCAGGACACAGAGGAAAACTGGGGTGGGGGTCCCTCAAGGGTTCCAGCTCACAGCAGATCAGGCAATGGTGGGGCTGCCCAGGGGTGAGGAGGACCCCAGGCTTCAGCCAGGAGCAGGGAGCCCCTTCCCAGAGCTCGAGTGGGAGCCCACTGGGGCTCACGTGGCTGGGGGAGGCACTGGCGCAGGCCATGGGAAAGCAGCTGGGGGGCTCAGGCCTGGACACTTGGGCTCTGCCTCCCCGCCAGCCAATGGACCGGGGCCAGGAGGCTGCTATTGTCTCGCTGCCGCCAGAGCCGGGGCCATTCAGACCCTATTTTCAGCCTGGAGGAAGAGGAAGAGAAAGCAAAGAAGGGAGCCACTGTCCTCGGGGACTCTGCCCGCCGCCAGAAAGGGTTCCAGGGCCCATTGGGCCGGGAAAGCAGCCACTGTTGGATCAAAGGAGCCTGCACCTCAAAGTTGCTGGCAGGGACTGTGGTTCTGGGCACATGGGGAGGGCACACACTTGGCATTCACTTACTCGGTTACGCCCAGAGAATCACGGGCACAGCGCTCCCAGTCTCCCCCACAGTCCCCACCTTCCCTCACACTTGTAATAATGAAAATTCCCTAACTGTTAAGCCAGAGCTGGACCATCCACTTTCTCACTTAGCTTCCGGAATGCTCCTCACCAGAGGGAAGGGACATGGAAATAGAGCTGCTTATGTTTTCTCACACCGAGACTCAGAGAGCAGGTGACTGTCTACAACCAGTGTCCCACACTGCTCCACTTCTGCCATCCATCCTTCCTTGCATTCACCACCTCCAGCCGCCTCTTCCCTGACATACCTCAGGACCTTTGCATGTGCTCTCCTCCAACTGGCCCCTTCTCAGGCCTTAACTTAAATGTCTTCTCCTCTGAGTCACCTTCAATGACTTCAAAATTACCCTCTATAACCTTTCTGTCACCTGTCTTATTATGTTTAATAATAAGACAGAAACCCAGGGATCTGGGTTTCATTTCCTTGCTACTTATTTCTCAGTGTTTGCTGTCTGTCTTGCTCACCACCTCTGACTTCAGTATTGGCACAGAGCCTGGTCCACAGGTGCTGCCCAGTGCTGCTAGTAGAACGAGTGGGTGAACTTGACAGAGCTGGGGCTCTATGCCAGGTCAGGCAGGTTCCGAAGGATCTTCCCACAGGATACTAGAAGTATCACCCCCAGCCTCTGCCGGATGCTACCAAAGACAGGCTCCCAAGACTGTGCCCAGCCTGAGAGCCGGGAGGGGACCAGAGGCTGCAGACTCACTCCCCTTCCACACACGTCCATCCGATGAAGGTTCTGAGAAGTCCTGCAACAGCCAGCTTTTCCTCATCCATGGGGCCACAGACACACTTGGAAGGTGTCTGGGTTAGATGCAGATGGAATGCAGCCATCCCAGCTGCATTGAGCACCAAAGCCCAGGTTCTCTCTCCACACAGGGGCAAAAGCTGGGGGTCCTGAGAGCCCTGGGTTCTAGGAACTTGGGCCACGGGTATCCTGAGAACCATCCTGGGGGACTGGAGAAGGGGAGAGGGCAGGGCAGGCATGCCACTCTACAGCCACCTGGGGGGAGGTCTCTGCTACCTTGCAGCTCAGGACACTGAGGCTCAGGAAGAAGAGGAGAGGCTGCTTGCCCAGGTACACAGAGCTTGTAAAACTGGATCCTATTCCAGCCTTGCACTTTCTTCACCTGTGCCACCTCCCTTTCCCGTGTGCCACCCACTCCTGCCCAAGCAGCTCCATGGCACAGAGAGTCAGCCACACTTCCACTCTGCAGCGATGGCTGTGGAGACCCAGAGAGGTTGCCGCATGGTCCTAAGGTCTCACAGCCAAGGTGCAGGTTCCACACCACCTTCCTGCCATCCTCTCTGCCATCCTCCCAGCCACAGTTACTGCAGCTGCCGACTCCCATTCCCCAAACCCAAGCAGGGGGACAGACGCGGACACCTGTTTGTGGTTAAAACCTGCTGCAGAGTCTCCCCAGGGAGGCACTGGTTGTTCTTCCCTGCCATGCAAAACTCCCTGCCCCCAGTTCAGGGACCAGGGCCCAGGCAGACAAGGAGCTGCCATCGGTCCCGTGTGCACAGAAGGCAGAAGAACCCATGGAGGGTGTGGCAGTGGAAGCCACAGGCCAGGGGATGAGTAGCTCTTTCCAGCCCGCCCACTGCCCACAGCGAGGTGGCATCACAGCAGGCGTGGGGGAGGAGAAGTACCACGGGCCTGTCGGATAAGGGAGAGCAAGAGGCTCTGTGACTGTGGGTGGGTGTCCCACGGGTGTCCCACCCCTTCCTGTACACATCAGGCCCCCCTTGTCAAGCTGTCCTCTGCCACTGAGCCCAGCTCTCTAGCGACTTGTGACTCACGCTGATAGACTCTCCCAAGGCTGGAGTTGGGTGGAATTTATAGGGATGCTCATGAGGTGACCCACAAGACTGTGGACAGTGCCTCGGGGTGGAGGTACCCACAACACTCCATGCTGCTAGAAAGACTATGGGGGACACGGGGACTGGACAAGCCAAGGGCTGGAAGGAGCTGAAGAAGAGCCTCACGGTTCCTATGTCCCCTCCGTAGGTCTCCTCACAACACCCTGGGGCAGTGGAGCAGCCAGGTATGGTACCAGGGGCATGTCACCCAGAGGCAGAAACCGGGGTTCAGGTCTCCAGGGCCCTGACTGCTCAGGGACCTTGGACAGTCAGTGAACCATGGTCTCTGCAGGCAGCGAAGTGGAGGCACAGGGTCGGGGGAGATGGGGAAATGAGTTACCCTCCTGCCCATTTGGCCCAGACAGTGACACAATAGAGGGCCAGTCGGCAGGGCACAGGGCCCAGCATGACTCAGCTGCCCACGTCGGCCTCTGAAGTTCACCCCTGGCATCTGTCACCATCGAGGCAGGTGGGTCTGGGCAGTTGTCCCCCACCACAGGGTCACACCCTGAAGACCAGACTTAGCCAGAGACACAGAAATGTCAGCGTGAGTGACCACACCAGTACACCAGCCCAGCTTAGGCACGGGACAGTGGCCAAACAGGTCAGGCTCGCTTCTCTGGGAGTTGTCCTTTGCAAGGTGACATCCTCTCCCTTTGCCCAGCTTCCTAAATCCTAATGAGAAGCTCACATAAATAATTAAGAAGAGAATTGGAAAACAGTCTTTCTTTAGATTTGCAGAACCCTGAACATCTGGTTACCTTCAGATAACATCGGAATGTGCCACACTCCTGTTATTCTTCAGTTCTGTGCGTCAACTAACACATAACGTGTGACCTGCCATGAGATCTCACTTATAGAAAGTCATGTCTGTCTCAAGAACTGCAGGAGCTAGCTTTGGAGGTCAAGGTCAATTGCCAAGTTCCAACCACAAAAAAAAAAAAAAAGGCGACACACCCTGGCTTATGAAGATCCTGCTCCACACATCTCCTTATAAAAGCCCTTCCTGTGCCTGAGGTCCCTAGCTGGAGTTTTGAGGATGACAGCCCCTCCATTCTCAGGGTGTCAGTCTTTGAGTAAAACTGTGATTTTCTTTCCACCAGTTCTGTCTCCTGAGTAGCAGCTTCCAGCAAGCAACAGACCTGGGTCCAGTAATAAGACCTTAGATCTTGGGGAACAGGAGGGAACCACAGGCTGGACACCTTCTCAGACTGGCAGGTCCAGTCCCCTTAGATGGGTGGAGTCTTTGGAGATCGGAGCCTTTCCCAGTGACATCCTAGGTTTGTTGTTGCTGGAATAAGGTCTAGGTAGCACAGAACAGTGACAATAACATCAGTACTTATGGTGTGGCCTGCACAGTACTCAGCACTGAAAATTGAGTGGCTCCCTTAATCTCTCAAGGTGCTAGTACCATCCTCATCTTATTTTATTTTGGCTTTTTGAGGCAGGGTTTCTCTTTGTAGCTCTGGCTGGCCTTGAACTCTCCATCCTCCTGCTTCTACCTCCCAAGTGCTGGGATTACAGATGTTCACAACCATGCCTGGCCTCACCCTCACTTAAAATATTATGAAAATGAGGCAGCAAGAAATTAACATACCTGTCCAAGTTCATCCAGTTGGGACAGAGCCCAACCAGTGCTGCCTGTCCCACGGGGCTGTTGAGCTGGAGATGGAGAAGCAAAGTTCAGGACAGCTGGGGATGGGGTTGACTTCTCATCCAGGTGACTGTCTTGTGAATCCTCCCAGGGTCTCATTTAGACATTAGGGATTTAAGCATCTTTATCCCTATTTCACAACATATAAAGAGGCTTTGAGAAAGTAAGCCACTTGCTCAAGGTCACTTGCCAAGGACTTGAACCTAGTTCTAATTCAACCACCCATGACCCTGCAGATAAAACTCTGAGCAAGGCTTAGAGAAGACACTTGAGGCCACCCATCTCACTAAGTGCACATTCGCCATGTGTGACCCTAAGTTCCAGCTGTAATGCTGCAAGCAGGTGGCCTTATTAGCTCCATTTACAGGTGAGGAAACTGAGGCTCCAGGAATCTGGGCCTTTGGCAGTGGGATGAAAGTCTCCCACGTGCAGCTACTTTCCGCCATGGGCTCTGAGAGTCCAAGCGCCAGCGGCTGCTGGGAGAAGATGGGCAGGGCCTGGGGAGGGAGCCAGGCTGGAGCCATCAGCCACAGAATCACTGACCCTTCTGGGGACAAACCGCTGACTGGTTCCCAGACAGTGAGCCCTTCATCCACAGTCCATTTTCCCACTAATGCAGCAAGGCCTGGTTGCTGCCAGAAACTCTGCCAACTCCCCAGGCTCAGCTCTTATCTCTGCCTGCCTGCAACTGCCAGGCAAGTGTACCACCAGCTACCTAAGCTGGCACCAGCCCAGGAGCCTGCTGCCTGCCACTCTGGCTTCCCTGCCGAAGCATAGGCCAGTGGGCAGAAGCTGGCCCACTGCTGTCCAGCTCTCTCAAGGGTGGCAAGGATAGGAAGAGAAGTTTCTGCATTATTACAAGTTATGTCTGGCCTCCATGTGCCCATCTACCCAGTGGGAAAGAAAGACTGCCAAAGGCTGACATTTGCACAGGCCAGGCACTGTCCCAAACACTTTCATTTGTTGTCTCCCTAATGCTCATTCACTCCTGTGGAAGATATGAATAGTAGTCACAGCTTACAGATGAGGAAACTGTACCCAAGTGTATGCAACCAGAGAGAAGCAGGGCCAAGGTTTTCCCTGGGCAGGCTGCCTGGCTGTCTCTCTAGGTCCTGTCACTCTAGAGAAACAGAGGCTTGGCAGTGGCAAGAAGGGAGTCAGGACAAGGGCTTACGCCCTCTGGCACCTTGCTCAGTACCTGGTCCTTGAAAGAGTCAGCAGAGTACGGCCCATGAGAACTCTGGATCCCCAAAGATGGGAGTTTCTCACTGAGGAAGCCACCTTGCCACAGTGTCCTGGTCTCTAAAGTGGGCACAGCATGCCCAAGCATGAACCTGGCATCTGGCAGAGTCTGGGGCTGCAGAAGGTCTAGGATTATTCTAGCCTAGGCTGAGCCATCAAGAGAACCCTGGAGTGTGTGGGGCACGAATGGTCTGGGAAGGTATCTCAGCCCACCTCATGCCAGGCCGGACAGTAGTGGTCAAGGGGCAGAATGTGTGTCCCAAGCTCTTCCCCTACTTGTGACCCTTTGCCCAACTGCCCCAGAACCTACAGGGCTCCCCACGGGGCCCTAGAAGCTCCAAGTGGTGAAGGAAGACCAGAGTCCAGAACAGGAGTGAGCTACCCACGAAGGGATGGAGAAGCAGGCTGGGAGCCGAGGCCCGCCCATCCCGCTGAGAGAGAGGCCCCTTTGTGCCAGCCCTGCCCCGCCCCCCACGTGCCATCTGCCTGGTCCCTGGAGGCTGGTCACCCTCGGCTGCTAGCTGTGCTCACATGATGCCCCCATCTGCTGTGAGTCAGAAGGCGGGGTCCAGAGGGCCACCCTGAGGACAGGATGGGGGTGTGGAGCCTGGCTCAGGTTGGAAAGGAGACAGCACTGGGGTTGGGGGCTATGTTGTCACATTTCCTTGTCCTCCCCACTTCTACCTCTGACATCCCACTCAGGGCTCCCCATCCCTAAAACCACAAAGTGCCCACTACCCACACACGGTGCTTCCCAGGAGAAGTGACGTCCACTGGCTGTCCCTGCCCACCCTCCTCTTGCCTTGGTCATGCTGGGTCCAGTAGGAAGGCCATCCTTACAGCACACACGCCCCCCTCCCCTGCCAGCTTGGCCACCTCTCTCCCCTGATCCCTCCCACTCTTCTCCAAGGCTGGGCTGCTACCTCTGCCTGTTCCCCCCAGCCAGAAGTTCTCCCAAGCCCGAGCCTTATCCCAGCAGCCGGGCGCTGGGCAGCCTAGCAAGGCCCATGGCACAAGCTCCCTGCTCTCTCTATCCTGCTGGTGGCATCTGGGCACCCACCTGGCCTGGCTGCTGGCTACCCTGCCCCAAGTCGCCTCATCACAGCACCAAGTCTCCGCAAGTGATCCATGCCAGGCTTCCAGTGTTGTAACCTACTCATGCCCTTCCTCTTCCAGGAACATTGTCCATGCCCCTCATACACCAAGGCCTCCTCCCCTCTTGCCTGCCCCCAGAGCCTCCCTGCCCCTCCTGGCCTCCATTGGCTCGCTAGCTTCCTTCTCACCCTGACTTCTTTGTGAACCTGACAGGATAGGGGTGTCACACGGGGCCAATACCCCAGCCCAGGGCACCCCAGCCCTGGCTGCCTTGCACAGACCATGCCTGGAGCCAGGTTCTCCCATCTAGCACTCTTAGAACCAAGCCCCAGGCCCACAGAGGCAGTGCAGCTAGAAGCACAACTCTCTTACCCTCCAATACACACACATTTTAGCACCAGGGGCAACCGAGGCCCAGAGAAAAGGCCAGGCCAGGTGACTGGTGATTCCAGGACCAAGTGGGGCTATATCTCAGCTCCCTGGAGTCTCTGCAGCAAAGAGTGGTCAAGTTTGGCTCCAAGAACAAGTGCCTTCTCTGGACAGGGTAGGGAAGACCCCAGCAAGGTGTGCTGGCCTGGGCTCTGGGGAACTGTCAGCTGCCCGTGACGCCCACTGACTAGCTGCTCCAGACACCAGGAGACCCACAGGGAAGGATGGGGGCTGAACCACCCACAACTTCCAACAGATCTTATTTGTCTCACTTCCTGCCATGCACCAAGCATACAGTAGGTGCTCAATAAATGTTCATATAAATAACTTCCTTGCCTTCTGCAGGAGGCACAGGGCAATTCCTGCCAATCCCACATACCCCAGGCCACAGCTGTTCCATGTAGGAAGGCGATGAGAAGGGACTGTGCCTCAACTTATCCCTGCCCCACACAGTGAAATGAACCCTGTGGAGACTCTGACCCAGAACTACTCCCCTACTACTGGGGAGTGAAGAGGACAGGAACCCATGCTTCCTACCCCAAGGGACAGGGGAAGAAAGTCCTATCAGTCCCAAGCAGTTGGCCCCTGACGTCTGGTGGGCAACCAATGGGAATTATGCAGCCCTCTGCCTGGCTTCCCCAACTATCTGCCTGGTTCCCAGGACTCCTATCCCAGGTACCACCTGCTCAGACCCTGCCAGGGGCCATGCCCTCTCACCTGGGCAACAAAGAGCTGGCTTGCCCCTGGTCACATAGGCCCAAGCCTGGCTCCCAGGACAGGGGCAAGGGAAGCTGCCTCTGGGGCACTTGCCCAGCCCTTTACAGATCTTTCTCCTCCCTGAGCCTGGCCCTCAGTCCCTGAACTTGCTATGTGACCTTGGGCAAGCCACCTGCCCCCTTGGAGCCTCAATTCTCCAACCTGTGCAACGGAAGCTGTGCTCTCAAGGCCCAGAGAGCAGACTCCAGAGACTGTACCACCCTGAGCCTCAGTTTCCCCAGCTGCCAAATGACCAGTGGCACTCAAAGATTCCACTCCTCTTCCTAGGCACCTCCTGTTCATACACACCCAATTCCAGTGACACCCCACAGCCACGCTTATCTGAGCCAGAACCTAGCAAGATCCAAGAACCCCCTCCAATTCTCCCTTACACCACGCCCCCACCCCTGCTCAACAGCCTCCCCCCCACACACACCCTAACCCTCCTCCCACTTGCTGTGGAGTACCTGGTGCCAGGTAGAGGGTCCTGTGAAGGACCAGGCAGCTGGACCACCTTTCAGGATCTGTGTCAGAGGCTTAACCTGCCTGTGCTGGTCCCTGCCAGCTGCCAAGCCACTTGTGGGCTGGGGAGAGTGAGCGCGTGGGAGGCTCCCGGCAGCCCCTCTCCTGCCGCAGAGCAGGGCGGCAGCCAGTGAGGAGCTGGGGGAGGGACCGGCTGTGTTTGTGGCGGGGAGCACCCCTCCTGCCCCAGCTGGGCTCCTCCCCAGTGAACGAACTCTGAAGATGTGAGTCATGGATTTCTCAGAGGGAGGCTGGGAGGAGGCAGGGCTGATGGAGCAGAGGCAGTGAGCAGTGACCCTGGGGATGCCCATGACTCAGGCCAGACAAGGGGGGGGACCTCAGCTTCACCCCCACCATCCTGGCATACAGGTGCCAGGCTTCAGGGATGAACACGTGCTGGAGTAGCTGCCGCCTCACCCTCTACCTGTGTATTCCCTGGGGGCCATTCTCCCCGAAGTTCCCACAGGGGCTAGAGTTGCCATGGCAACAGGCCACTCGGATGCTGCCCCCCCCATTCCCTCCGCCATGGCCCAGAAGACAACTGCCCCTTCCTGAAGGAGAGTCCAGTCTCCTTGGCAGCAGTCAGGAGCCGGTGCTGACCGGCAGAGCGGAAGGCGGCCAAGAGGAAGGGGGTGTCAGGCAGCCTGGCACCGGGCCATGCACAACCGACCTCAAATCCTCTTGAGCCTTGGTCTTCCCGGCAAGGGAGGCACAGTGAGGTCCCCCACACGTCACAGCTTCAACACTCCAAGACTCAAGTCCCAGATCCTGAACCCCACAGGCTTCTAGAAGTGACCTCCCTTAGCCTCTCTGCTGAGTCAAACGGGACACTGAGGCTCTGGTGAACTGAGGCTCTAAAAACCCAAGAAATGGCAATTTGGAAATGGGTCAATGCCACCATCCCCCTTCTGGTCACTCTGTTGGTCACTCCCTCCCACTGCTGGGTTCACCGCCCACGTACAGCCTGTTGCGGGGGCTTCAGAGCCCTGTGGAGTGCACACTCCTGGCTCCCCTCACCCATATAGCCAAGTCACATGTGCTGTGAGAATTTCACAACCAGGGCAAGTGACAACAACAGTGCCAACAGTAATGAGAATAATGACAATTCCATTTAGCACATCCTGACCCTTCCCTCCTACCGTCTCATGTTGCCCACCTGACATAGTGACGTCAATAAATATTCTCCAAGACCGTGGTGATGAAGAGAAACGAAGCTCACAGAGGAAAGTGAACTTGGCCAAGGTCACACCACTGGCAGTGGGGGTTAGTGCAGGAGCCCAGGGGCCTGGCTCCTAACCACTCATCAATCCGGCCTCCCCAGGCCTCCAGCGTGCAGCCTGGCTCTGGAGGATGCTCGGGGAAATTTAGGTCCCCCTCTCTCTGGCGGGGGTCTACATTTTACTAGAAGACAGGGATAAGAAAACTGCCCGTACCATGTGCGAGCAGTGCCAGGATGGTAGGGCTGCTAGAGGTGAGCTGCGTCCCTCACCTGCCCCCCAAAAGAAATCAAAGCTTCAGGGGGGATGAAGGTGATAAAGCCATCCATGAGGAGCAGGGGTCCATGATGCTAGAGCTTCCAGAAAGCCCTGCTGTGTACACACTAACAATCCGGATGCCCAGGCTGTGGGCATTTGGCCCAAGTCGGGCCTTACTGTTCCTACCCAGGGTTGTAGTGGACACCGCCTTGTTGCCAGGGCAAGAGGGGCCAGCGAGTAAGGGTATAGAAGTCAGTTATCCAGAAAAGGATGGTGAGTTCCTGACATGCCATGTCCTCAGACAAGCTGCCACCTCAGTGTCCATGATGTTGGTCCTTCACTGGTAGCTGCCATTCCCAAAGAGCCAGGCTGGCAGGGCAGCTGCCTTCCCGTACTACCACTACCACCAAGTGCAAAGCAGGGGCCAGATGGAGAGAGCACGGTGCCACCAAAGCCTGACGCCAGGTACTGCTCTATGTAGGGCAGGAGTGGACTTGTCAGGCCCTACTGCTTGACACCATCCAGCTTTTCAGAGATCTGTTATGTGCTGGGCAGGACCGGGCTCTGGGGACAGGCCCCAGTTTGGAATCTGGCTGGGGAGGTGAGCTTGGCTCTCACCTATGGTACCTTGGGGCCGGCTGTCATCGCACAGGACCCCTCCAATGATCCATGGAATGACAAAGGAGGTGTGATCTGCTGTGTCGGGAGGTTGCCATGCAAGGGGCCATGCCCGTTGTGCAGCATTTGCGTGTCGCTGTAGCAACCCTGCTAGGCGGGTGCCTCCACTAAGTGAGACGAGATGGTCTGAGGCACCACACGGCCACACGGCCAAGGCCACACACCCGGGACACAGGGCTGGGCCTCCAGCATCCTCACTTTATAAAAGGGGCCTGAGGCACAGAGAGGGTGAGGAGGTCGCCCAGGCCCTTCAGCAACAGGAGCCAGGGCCTGAACCAAGAGTATCAGCCCCAGAGCTGGGTCTTGAAGGAAGGAATCAGGACCTCGATAAACAATGACCACTCCAGGTAGAGGGGACAGCATTGACAGGGGTGAAGAGGTAGCAAAGGAGCTACTTTTGGAAGTAGGATGTGCTAAGAGACAGAGGGGCAGATCCATGCAGTCTGGGGGGCTAATCAAAGGCACTGGGGAGCCACAGAAGGTGTTTGGGTAAGAGAGGAGTCTGATGATCACTCACAGATTGCAGTATAGTCTAAGAACTTATAGGAATCCTGGAGCTCAGGTGTGCCCCAGACCTGCTGAACCAGAACCTGGAGTTTAACAAGATACCCAGGTAGTTCCAATTTCTGGCAAAGCATGGGACGCCCCAGGCTTGACTCATGGGATTTGAATTACCCTGGTGCTGTGGGGTGGAGTGGGGTATGGACAGGCGGCTGGGGTCCTGCTGGGCCTTGAAGGTGGAGACAGAGGGAGGGCAGGGGAAGAGGCTCTGGTTCAAAAGACCACAAGTAGAACCAGGACCCCACCCCACCTAGGAAGTAGGGACAGGAGGGGAGAAGATGTGAGAGACATCCCTGAAGCATGGCAGCATGCCATATGGGGGTGGGGGCCTGTGTCCCCCCTGCTTCCACTGGAAGTGCCTCCCTGGCCACTGAAAACACCTTGCTCTGGCTCAGTAGTAAGAGGCTGACGGTCCACAGGCCCAGAAAAGGTTATGGGCATTACTGATGGTGACAGAGCCAGAGGTGAAGTGGGGAGTGCAGAGAACTAAAGGCGACCCTTCATTTTAAGGACAGAGGACAGGGGACAGCGCTGCTACTGAGAGCCCAGGCCCACAGGCTGCCACCCTAATTCAACCTGGACAAGTGTCTCTCTTCACACGCCTCCCTGCCAAGCAAGAACAAACATATCCTCACTTACTGGGCTAATAAAGGACGCCACGTGCGTGAAGCTCACAGCCCAGGCTGGGCACAGAACGAGCACTCTGATGGCCTTGCCGGGACCTGGCTGTTCAGAGACACCTGCAAAGGCCACAGAGGTAGGGCTGCCAGGAGATGGAGATCTTCAGGAACATGTGGACCTCAGGACAGAGATAAGGGTCAGGGGTGACCCTTACTGACTACTGAGAGTGCGGCCTGGGTACACAGGAGGACATGAGGGGGACTGCAGGGGACCAAAGGCCCTCATTCCCTCTGTAACACACCCACCGAAGCACAGCGGGCATGAGCCAGCCTGGAGGACACTGAAGAGCCATGCCCGACTGTGTGAAGGGGTCTGAGCAACCATCACCTGCCCAGGGTGAGTTTTTATCAGACAAGAAGAGTTCAAGGCCAAGCTTCTCCTCTTGCAGCCTTGTAAATCCTTGAGCACCATGCCTAGACACAATGTCAGCCAATGCCATTATCATCGTAAAGCCAACACAAGGGCCAAAGGCCCAGCCTCCACATTGTCCCACCCGGTGTTTCCTCTCCAAAGCAGGGATGAGCAGACCCACTTGACAGAGATGGAAACTAAGGCCTAAGAGCCAACTTTCCCAAAGCCTCAGACCCAGACCTATGCTCCGCGTCCCCTGCTCCTGCCACGTTCCTGCTCATTCCCGTGGGAAAGCCTCCTGGCCACAGGCGTGGGGGGCGGTGCTGCAGCCCCATGATAACACCATCTCCGGTCATGTTCCCCCAGGGCCCAGCAGGGATGGCAGTGCCATGTGACTCAGCCACCCTCACAAAGGCAGCTGTGTGCCCAGTGTCCCAGACCCACCTCCCCCACCCAGCTGGGGATGCACAGGGAGCCTGACACGTCTGGAGAGGCGAGAGTTGCTCTCAGCCGTTAACAGGGGCTGAGTCTAGTGGGGCTTCGTGCCTGGGCTTGGGGTCCGACGCTGGTGGTGGAGTGAATACCCGGGCAAACAGCCTGGGGAGCCCGCCCAGGTCTAAGTGTTTCCTGAGACCGTATTTGGAGCTCATGGCCAGTCTCCCTTGCTTGGCTCCTGGGGGCAGGCAGGTGTCCCTCCCATGTCTACCTGTATCGGGTTTCACAAGCACTGGGGCTGTTGAGGTCAGGAAAGTGGCGCTTCTGATGCCAGCAGGGCCCCTGTTTCCACACCTGGCTGCAGCACTGTCTCTGTCCACCTCTTCCCCAGAATCGCTCCCCTAAGTGCACACTTGGTTCTGCAGTCAAATGCTCTACCCCTGAGCTAAACCCCCTGTGGTGCACACTTGGTCCTGAACCAGGCAAGGGACATCTGTTTTCTCCTACAGCCCTGCTAAGAAGGCTTTGCTCTTCTCTGAGGAGACTGGGGCTCAGAAAGGGAGGGAGACCAGCCCAGTGTCACACAGGATTAGAGCCAGGATCTGCTTTTAAGGCCTGTCCCTCCCCCCCTCAGCATCCTGTTCCCAGTTCCAATGCCAACAGGAAGTAGACTTGGGCAGGTGTAGACAGAGGGCAGAGAGACCTTCCTCCCCATGGTCACCTTGTTCCCCTTTGTCAGAAGAGATCTGTTCCAGAAAGCAATTCCTTCCAGAAGTTCAGGCTGGCTGGCCTCTGAGGGCCACTCTACTGACCTCCCCAGGAGGTGGGTACGCCTGAGTGCCCAACTGCCTGAGACAGAGGTAATCATGGCATGA